CACTGAGCACATACTTCATAAGCAAAGCCCACACAAAAAACACATTCATCCTTGTTTCTCTGAACTTTTAGTGGAGGGAGTGTGGAGCTAAAGCACCATGGCAGTGATCTTTTCTGCTGGTTACCAGCACATGACCACAAGCAAGAGAATTATTACACCAATTTCTCATGTAGATACCACAGAAGTTGGATAACTATCTGTCCAGGGAGCATGGGCTGTCTTTATAAAACCTGAAATAGAATACAAGCCTTCTGCATCCCAGCTAAATGTGTAAGCCAACAGATCAATTTTATCGACATCGGAACAGCCCTCCCTTTACTGGGTCTCAGCTCTCTGGCCTCGATAACCTGTGCTCTTTAACCATGCAGTTTGAATAACATGGTTAAACACTTGTGCCATGTAGTGCCCCAGGCGGTTTGAACTTCAGATTTCTTTGGCATGAGTCTGCCTTTCTTCAGATGACACCAGTTTAAATCCCCATCTTTCTCCTTTTATTCCTGTGCTCAAAAGGGAAGACTGACAATCTCTTGTGACATTTTTTTTTTCCAGAGTAGGAAGTCCAGTTAATTTGGACTAAGAACTTTACAAACATGAGTGGAAAGAATTTGTCTTAATAGCAGTAGACTGTACTCTCTGGGTTTTATTCTTCTTCAGTACCATTTATAAACACTAATAACCAAGCTCATTGTTACACCTTATTTAAGAGCTGTTTAATAAATGGCTTTCTTGTTTTACTTTCTATATGCTAAGCCCAAGAAAATAAGGAAAAAAGAGAGTCATCAATTTGATAGCTCTGCAGTAATGAATAGTTATTGCTATCTCCAGACTCCTTAGGTAAATGACCCATCGAGTGATTACCACATCCCTGGAGCGATTGAACCTGTGATCCCTGTGCAGTCTCCCCTCAAGGGCAGCCGTTTAACTTCCAGGCAGAAGCAGTTATCTTTGTCTATCAGCCCCTGCTCCTTCACTTCCTCAGCAGGGCATTGACCTGAAGCCTCCTTGTAAATCATGGTGATCATTCTCCACTGTTCTGAGTGCAATTCAGCAGCTGCAGAAAATGCTCCCCTCAGAGGATAACAGAAAAGCAGCTGATAACTGCCTTACTTTGCAGTGCAAAATAAGTTTAGGACAAAAGCACTGGGGAAAAAGCAGATAAATTACTGTAAATGACTCCTATACATGCTAATCAAACCAAGATTTGCATCAACTTTACCCAGTCCTGGATTGAGGAAGAATTTCTTTTCCCTCTCCACTTACTTTGCCTTTTTTCCTTTCCTTCTTAAGATACAAGGAAGGCTGAACTGAATCCACCTGAGTGCTCTAGCAGGATGTCTCTTTGCTCTTCCCCTTGAAGTATGAACTTCAAAGGAGCGAGATGCCACACATGGCACAGTTTAGTAACTGCATCCCCCTGCAAAGGACTTGGTAAAAACTGCCATGGAAGGCACCAGCTGGGGAGGAGGAACACATTGGCCCGGCACCATTTACCCCTTCCCTTGTCCCTACAAATCAGATCTGACCATTCTGCTTCTTGTCTGAAAGGTTTTTATCAAACACTCACCTACGTTTCATCTGATGCACCTCAGATACAGGCACGTGGGGCAGCTGCCTCTCTGGGGCACATCCTGCAGAGCTCCAACACCTGGATACCTTTAGACCTGTCTTGTTCAGCCAGGAAATAGAAGGCTTATGTAACAGTGATTCTCTGTTTCTCAGGTGTTCCATGCTCCCCATAGCATCTCAGGGATGCTTTTGAAATTTCTGCCTGGCAGCCTGCTCCAGCCTCCTGCAGAGAACCTGAAAAATAACATTTATTTTTTCCTATAATGTTCCTTTGCAATATTGTATGTAGTTTTGCAGTAGACAAGATGAAAAAGTGCCGTGACCAACAAGGAGTTCTGTGGTGGGTGACAATTTAAGGTGCAATTGCACAGTAAGAGATTGTTAGGATGGCAGTTTGTTTCAGCTTTGCAAGAAACAGTGTGGGACTATGCAGTCATATCTAGAAACTGTCACTCTCGACTGTGAAACCTCCATTGCCTTGGTCAAAAGTCTCACCAGTGCTTCAGCATGGTTTTCCTTTAGACTTAAATCACATTCAGAGGAAGTTGTGGAAGAGAAGTTCTGTTTCTTCCTTATTTAACATCACAACAACTTTTAAATTGTACAGGTGACTGCCTTTTCTTTTTCTCTGAACTTTCCCTCTTGTGCAGAGTGGTGGGCTGCAAATGGTTCATGAATTATGCACTTCTCTTTCCCATTCCTTCATTTTAAAGGCTCTAAAGAACAGTATATTCCTTACAAAAATACATTAACACATAAAATGGACATTCATTCAATCAAAATAATAAAAATAATGTCTGATATAATAATTACATCTAGAATTATATCTGAGAATTATTATCCCTATTTTGACCATGCTGCAGTACTATTTCCTTGGGTACATGGAAGGAGCTTCACTAGACTATCTGCAGAATGTGCTGTAGATTTCTATCTTTCTAATCTCAATTATCATTCATGTTTTTAATTCCAGATTGTAGCTACCAAAAATCTTGGAATACACTGCAAAAATGGCATACCCCAGATTCTACATGAGTTTCCACCAGCTTAATCTGTGGGATCCCAGCCTTTATGATTTTGTGATTATCTGCATTTCCAAGCCATTAAGTTCACTGGACTATGTCCAGTTCTCAGTAGCCTGCACTGGAAATATAAAAGATATTGTGATCTAGACAATTCTTATTCTAAATTCCATACAAAAATTAAGGTTTTGAGGTGGGTGGGTTTTTCGAGGGCTTTTTGGTTTGTTTGGTTTTTCTGGATTTTTTGTTTGTTTTTTTGTTTTGTGGGTTTTTTGGGTTTGTTTTGTTTTGGTTTTTGTTGTTGTTGATTATTTTTAAATGAAAGCCACAAGCTGATGAAATATTTTCCAGTTTTTCATCAGAATTTCCAGAGTGTGCCTATGAAAACCTTACTAAATGAAAGAGGTATACCTATTCCTGAAAAACATTTCTAGGTTCGGTAGTTGACATATTCCATAAAACAACCCCAAAACAAAACAAAAACAAAACAAAACACCCAAAATGAAACAAAACAATCTCACAATGCAGAGGTTCCATCAGACATAACTTGATGCATTTTGTCCCACTGAAGCCTTACATCTCAAATTTCAACTGTGCACTAGTGCTTTAAGCCCAGGAATGAACCTGACTGTACAACTTTGCAGTTTTAATGGCTTCATATTTGCTTATATTTACACCCTATTTAGTCTTGCAGAGCGTGAGAGAACCACATTTAAGACTTCTCAGAAATCAAGCTGAGCCAGCAGAGCCATAGCTCACGAGACCTGTGCTGCTTCCCTGATGTTACAAGGAAAACCAGCTCAGCCCTCTGAGTTATGAGTTCCCCAAATACTTTATTCTTTCAAAATGACTGTACCCTACATTAACTGCAAGAGTAGGTGTTAAGTTTTGTCATACAATTTAAAACCATACTATTACAATTTATTTAACAGAGCTGACTAAGCTTCCAGTGGGAAATGATGCCAAGCTCCGTTCTGCAGGTGGGTAGGGGTAGGAGCATTTCTGGCCCTGATACTGAAGCACCAGCTAGAAGCTTCCCTAATTCCCAAGATTATACTGTACTTCAAAAAAAATGCAGCTGTGTTGTACTTGAAGTCATAAATTTTTACTTTTAATTCTGTTTCTGAAGCATAGTGAGCTTCATAAGAAATTCTATTTGTAATGGCTGAAACCATATTTTACCGTTTGAAGTTAGTATAATTGATTTGAGTTTTCTTATATTATTCTGTTTTTGTTAGCGATAATTTTATCCTTAAAGCATTATCAGTAGAACATCCAGTTTACATGGGTGATATTAAAATGAAAGTATCTTATTTTGCAAGCCAACAGTCTTGAAATAGTGTCCTTAGTGCAGCAAGAGCAAATACAGAGCTGACAGAGACATAGAGAGCTAACAGAAACCCTATGTTTTGGTAAATAGCACCATTATTTCTCATTTCTTCTTGGCTTTATATCTGCAGCCACATGAAGGGTGAATTGTTGATAATTTCCAGTGTAAGCCCTGGCACTGAACTCTTCCAGCTACTGTTCTTTTTTTACTGAACTGTCCAAAAATTACTAAGAAGAGAAATGAATATTGGAAATATTTCCTTGTGCATGTTTATTCTAGTTACCCAACATGTTTATGCAGTTTCATTATGTTTAGCATAAGATGGATGGCTTGATATCTCTGGGTCACTCCATACTGCTCTTTTTTCATCTCAGCCTTAGGTCTCACAGTTAATTAACAACTCCTGTTGGATTAAAAAGATTGAAGATGGACAAAAGCTGGCCTTTTAAACTATGTGTCTAAACTATGTGTTGGTTACAGAAGGTTTGGGGGAAACTCTCAGATATTTTGTTAAAATTATCTGGGGGTCTGGGGCAAAATGGGAGCAACACAAAAGGCAAGAGTGATTTTTGTGTTTATGGGGAAGTGTTTCAGCCCTCTGCTCTAGTAGTATTTCTTGAGTTGTACTTAAGGTAGGCACTATCACACACAAAAACCTTGTGAGTGTTGTGTGTATGTTTTGGGCACAGAAAATCATAGAAAACCATAGAAGCCAAGCAGAAGATAGTAAACCACTGGTTTCAACTGATCCATTTACAGACATTCCCTAGGCACTCAGCACGTGTATGTCTTGGACACCAATCATGTTTGTGCTACTATGACAGCAGGTTTTACACAAACAGTCCTGGGCTTGCTTGTTGTGCCCAGGAATGCACTTTTCAAAGCAAATCTTATCTGTGCCCATTTACCTGATTTGGTTCACACTGTGGATCAGTTTTGCTGTGCACTAACTCAATTAGTTTAAGGTGCAACTAAATTGGAAATGCACATCAACCACAAATGGCCAGTTAGTTCACAGAATGAGATCTTAACTAGCCTGATGCAAAGCCACCCCTTCAAAACCCACAAGGTGTGTGTACCTGCAGCCTGTTTGTTCCTGCAGATCCATATCCACTGCTCCACACTATTTGCTAACAAAGATGCAGCCTACAGAACTGAAAAGCTTGTGGAAGAGCAGATTATATTTTAGGACTTCTTAGGGTGGAAGCTGGTTCTTGTACTTGTTTTCACTGTGCCCAGAACAATAAGACTTCGATTTAGATCCTAAGATCCAATATTGCAATAGTTTTAAAAACCTAGAAATACAAAAGAAAGATAATAGGCTGCAAATATGGAATCAAAGTAGGTTCTAGGTCTCCAGCAAAAGGGGAATTGAGGCTGCCAGACAGCATCAAACTAGAAGAAAGTTCCTTCCTATTTCAGTGCTGTAGAGAAAAGCAGTTGAATCAGAAGGTTAGTCTCTTTTCTTTCTATCCCCACTGTCAGAAAAGAAAGAGCAATTCTTACTTATTAGGTCAGCATAGTCTGCAGGGCTTTGCAAAATAACAAAGATGTAAGTACTTCCTTGTGCCTAAGGTGTGCCCTCGCAAAAGACATACATATAAATCATACACACATAAATATATATAATATTCATTGATTTTATACTTTGCTGAGCACTTTCAGAGATGCTATCATCAGCTGGGCAGAGCAGGGAATGTATTTTCAGTGAAAATACTTTGGAACACCATTTCTTGTTTTCACAAAAAGTAACATCTTCCATATATTCCAATGCACTGCCATAAGCATTCCAAAACTGCTGGTTTGTCTGGTTCTAGCAGAGTTAACCTGACCTTGTTGTTTAGAAAGAATTTTTTCCAGCTAAAATATCTGACTCATCACATATGACCTCAAATTCAGCCACTTTCCATCTCCCACGCTAAACTATGGCTATTTTGTCATGACAAATCTGCTGAGTGGGACTGCATCTGCAATAATCACATTTAGCAAGAAATCAGATTAAGAAACTAATCAGGGAAACATTTTTGTGCATTTTAATATTTTTCAATTCATATGAAACAAAATGAAAATGTAGACTATATCAAACTCATTTCACTTTTGGGGGGTGAAAGACTTATTTTAAAGAGAAGTTTTTACTATTTGATACAGTCAAAATTTGGCATGCTAGTGGTATAGCATATGGAAAAAAGGTATGTACTATTTTAAGGCTAATTTGATAAATTGCCTTAAGGACTTAATAATTGCTAAGTCTAATGCAGCTGCTCAGGTGCATAAGGGTAGTATGATGGCTGCTTTTTGTTCTTTTCCAGAAAATGCTGTAGCTTCACTTGAGCATTGCTGACAAAATGGGCTGATCTTCACTACATCCCAACCTGGGGAACAGAATTTAGCTGCCAGAAATCATGCAATTGGTGACTTAGTTTGAAATCAGACAAATTAGAATTAGCAGCAGTATTACCGAAATAAATCCCTCCAGGATCCAGATTAAGATAATTAATAACATACACTGACTTTATATTTAAACCATACCTGAACCAAACTCGAAGAAGAGCAGGAGGCCAATGTAGACCTTAACTCCAAAGACACAGAGCCAAGTTACACTGAGCAGTTTGGCTTCACTGAGCTCAGCAGGGACCACCAGGTTTATGTTCCCCCAGCTTTAGGCACTAACAGGGCACTTGGAGCAGGAGAGTGGCTGCCTTGCCTTATGGCCAGTAAAGGCAGGGAGATACTTTCAAGGGTGATGCAAGTCTAAGGTGGGAATCAAATCTCTTGAAGTAATCCCTCTCTTATTTCTATAGATATTCTTAATTGATTGATGTTAAATAGGTTGAATTTAGATTTGGGACTCTGCAAGTTCACATGAAGAAAGGTTTGGGTCCATAATGCTGGTCTTGATCAAATTTTAAAACATACAGAATTTTTACAAGTAATTTTCATTGATTGGTTTGACTCTATGTAGCTGGTGAAAATAGAAATGCTATTTCATTATCAAATAAAGCAAATATTTACCAAATTAATATGCAAGCCCCTACTAGATTTCCATTTTTATTCTGTTCCCTGACTCTATCAATACTTAGGGTTTCCTAGTATCCAGATAAACTATATCCAATAAAAATCTTGGAAGGAAGTCACTATTAGCCAAAGAACGAAAGGATAAAATAGCCAAAAAATGAACTAACTTTGAATGGAATTTAAGTGGGAAAGAACAGAGAACATTTAATCTTGACATTTTTAATTCTACAACCACATCAACAAGGACAAGATATATTTAATTTATTGACCAACATTTCTGGAGAAAAAACATCAGAGTAGTTTTTTTGTCTTTAAAAATTTCATAATGGCAGATGAAAAGGTGTCATTTCTTATGCTTTTAATATAATATTTCATCTGCACTTAATTACTAAAGGAAACCATGTAATCCACTTAATGAGATGGAGTTAAAAATAGCAAAAAGGGGTACTATAATATATAATGCATTTTGACAGCTGTTTATATTTACTAAAATAATAAATTCTATCCAAGAAGTTGAAGAATTGAAAGAGGAAGCAAATTCTCATTGTATGCCTGAAGTCTGAAGGGCTATTCACCAGGGCAGTAACAATCTTCAGAGTCAAAGCTCAAGATCTCATTAAAGCATAGACTACTTTATGCATATTAAAACACTAAGGTCTGGTTCATTGCTTCAGTTCTGGTTCAGTGCTGCAGAAGTGTAAAATCTCACTTAGTTCTGCTGCTACTCTTCTGTCCAGCTTTACCACAGTGCTTTTGAACTGGAAAGCTGCTCTAAGAACTTCTGTACTGTATATTTTCTTTCTCACACTGGTGAAATCAATCCACATTTGGTACTGAGAATGCAGTTATTCTGTCATCAAAGGATTTATTCTGTGATCAGTTCGCAAAATAACATGTGCTATGAAGCTTTGTGCATATTAAAAATTATGCACAGCAGGTTTTTACATCCTGAGGTTGTGCAACCATACCTCTCACTTACATAATCATCATACATAAATATTTCTTGCATCAAAAGTTAGCTACTCTGTACCATATCTACAGTCAGTAAAACTATTAAAGAAGTGTCTTTAGCTAAATGAATCTCTTCTAGAAAAAAAGTCATCGTGTTCCCTCAAAAAATTGAAAGAAATTAAGCATAAAAACTGAGGGAAATGGGTAAAAAAATTTTCCCTGTTAAATATACAGTACTTAGCTCAATTACATGCTATTTAAAGAACAAGAAGTTCTAAAGACATTTACTTTATTTTTCATCCAAGTATGTTAAAATATAATTTGATCACCATCCACTCTCAGGTATGTTTTTACTCTGAAGGGCTACAGTCTTACAGAGCAATCCATAATCAATACAACAGCTGCAAGCTCCAAACTTAAGGCTGAAAGCAAAGGTCACCTTTTTAAAATAGTGAATAACTAATCATTGCAAATAAGGCCTGTGGTAGCTTCTCTCGCATTTGAGCTCCCAAATCAAGATTAAATATCTTTCATATCCTTCACTGAAATCACCAAGGCTTCTTCAGTATTCTGAAGGATGTCCCTAGGAGGTGATGCCCCAAAGACAGATATTGAGCTCCTGACAACCCCAGGCACAAGAAGTTTTACCAATCAGCATGAAAACTCCCAGAAACTTTCAAGCCAGCATGACTGTACTGGAGCCTTCAAAACTAATGGACTGTATTGTATGAAGCTGCCAACACAAAACAGATACCCTGAAGTACTTTCTCACCTGTAGCCTTAAATCAATCTTACTGACAGCCTTCATTTTACTATTGTACTGAGAAAAAGTTTTTTTTCAGGAAACAGAAATATACCTTCTCATCTGTCCATTAAAAACAATCAGTATTGTTGATGCCTTCTCAAGTGATTTAATCCTTGTCTGTGTTATCTTTCTTTAACAATTTGAATGATGTCTTTCCTCATTTTTATGCACTATTATCAAAGCAAGCAATTCCTGGCGGGGAGGGAGAGAACAGATAAATAACCTTTCAGGCAAATGGGATGGAAAAAATATAAGAAAGCAAGAAGAGGCAGACTTGCTTGGTCTCAGAGCAGTTGCCATGGCACTGCATCTGACTTCTTGGCTACAATAGCCGCAGATTTACTCACTCTCTGGCAGGTAGCAGCAGCCACAGGAGTTGGTTTTCATCCTCTCTGGGAGAGGAAATTTATTTTCCTCTCACCTTTAGGCATTAAAACTCAACCTTGTTCACAGTGGCAAGAAATACTGAGCTGACCATGAATTTCACATAGGAGTCAGCCTACATCACTCCCCACACTGACTCCTCATTTTCAACTTCTCACCTTCATCACCTGTTCCACCTGAACCTGTTCCAGTCAACCTCTCTCCAAAACTTTTTCAGTGTTTTCTATAGCAAAGTAGTTCCTGTTGCTCTACTACTTACAATCCTTTTCAATCTACAACATACTTCACTGAAATTTAACATATGCAAGTGACTAAGATGACAAATTCCAAATCTTATCTTCATAATAATTTTTAAAGTATTTTCAATGACTGCACCTATCAATCTATATAATGCCAAAGGAGAAGCAATAAGTATTTCTCCTCCTAAAACTTAACCTGATTGACTAAGCTGATAAAAAGAGATTTCCTGCAGCCCAGTTTTCAGTTTCCTGCAAACTTTCATTTGCTGCACTTTCTGTTTTCACCTAAATGACATCACCTATTCTCAGAATTTCCAAAAGTAATTTCTGCCTTTGAGTGATCTGAATATCTCCTGGCTGTACTCCAAGCACCCATTTTTAGCACCAGATTCGAAGGTGTGCCTTGTCACCTCCAGCTAACTAACAAAAAGAAAGTTTCAAGTTAGTCAGATCCCTTCCCCTCATTCAAGCTTGTCCTTCTCTGCCATCATTAGAACACTCAACCTATTTCTCCTTTACCGAAGCTGTTGCTAAATTCTATCTGTCTTCCTTTCATCTTGCTCTATAAACCTGTTTTCCTCTCTCTCTCTGATCCTGAAACCATAGTAGATACTTTTGACAGTACCCCTTTTCCTTCTTGTCACCCTAAGTTCTTCAGTGTATCGGGAATCCAGCTGCTGACCACCCCATCCGTCACAGCTGCTTTTATCATTCCTTTATCTTTGACATTTAGGCATTTCATTTCCAGATTCAAAAGCCTCTGCCCTCTTGCATCTGAGCTGATATCTCAGGCTTTAGCTTAGCTTGTGGTGCCCTCTGAGCTCTCCTCTCCAAATATCCCATGTTTCTGAGTTCTTTTCATAGTGTTCTCTGTCAATACTCTGTGCAATCACATGGAAGCAATACAGCTTCCCTGGCATAGCTGCAAATATTGCTTAATAATGCTTTTTATTTTTGGTAACAAGAAGAGGAAGCAAAAATGCTTTCTTGAGTCAGATCCCAAACCAAGGGTTTTGCCCTCAGAAGTCCCTCTACATTCCAGCTAAACACAGAACTATAACAAATGCGCTTGTCTGTACTGCTTTTATTCCACTTGGGAAAAAAAGTCTCAGAAATTTTCAAGCCACTTAGCAACCTCAGCACTTCAGATCCTGAGCAACAAGGAGCAAACAGAAAGTACAATTAAGATTCTTTCCTCAATTCTTTGAGCCTTCTGCCTATCCTTTGCAGAGGCTCCTTCATCAGAAGCCTAAACTTCCACCCCTGCAACTATCTGGGACTGCTTAGAACAATGAAATTATTTATGTGTTGGCAACAGTTTCACTGCAGCTATATCCTTTGCTTCCTTTCAGAACAGCATATGATAAAAATCACCAGCTTTAAAAGCCAGTAACAAGTGCCTGCAACAAAGGAAAACACCAACTGCAGTAGTTTGGCAATCTGGAGGTCGAAGTTCCAGACCTGTTCCAGCCAAACTGCTGTGTGACCTGCTGTCAGATTATACATGCAACTAATTTCTGCATAAGCAATAAAAATACCTGAGGTCAAGCAGGCTATAAGGCTCATCTCCATGTCTAACTGAACTCCAGATCTGCAGCCATATATCTTCACTTTGCACCTTTTTCCTTCTTATATTTTTCAATAAATTTGATTTAATGGTATCAGGGCACTTCTTGCATTTACTTTCCACAAGTGCTCAAACAATTGAGTTTTCCTGATATAAATGGCTGTGGAGAAGGAATTAATGTCAAGGTCTTAAGCCTAAGCATTTGTGGCAACCTAACATATGAATCAATGCAGAAATGATATGCACTCTGTCATTCAGTAAACGGAAAGAAAGACACCATTGTGATATATAATTGAGTATCTCTATGTAACACAGCTTGGAAGTGAAAACCTAGGAGAGAGTTGTCTACAGTATATAAAGGGGAAGGCAGGGCATGAAAAGGTGAAATGGAAAAACACACATGAAATCTAAATTATTAAAGAAGGTTAATGAAAAATATGATACTTTACTTTTTAAAATCTTGAGCTGGTAATAACCTGTCTCTCATTAGTTTTGAGTGTGAATTTCAACGTTTAGGTTATGAGTGATCTTTCCTTAGTTTCCTTCCCTTGTTTTCACTATCACAGTTCTCAGTGAAAGAGACATGTCTTCATGTTTATCACACACATTCCTCTATTAGACCTGCACCTTTCCAAATTACATTACCTGTCCTTCATAGAGTCATTCTCCTGTGGTTAGTTTATATTGTGGTGCTGAGTAGCCTTTACCAGAACATAAATCATAGCTTGTTTTATAAATAATTATGCCTTTTAATAAAGAAGTTATTTATAGACAGTAACATAGAGTTAGCTGTATCCCACAGAGCTGGACAGGTTGCAAAACAGCTTAATACAAGTGACAATAACTATGCAATAACTATAAACAACTATGGACAAAAAAAGAGTAACCACATTCAGCATTTATGCAAAGGACATTTTTAAAAATTATATGTGCATGTTATACTAAAATAGAAACCATATTTGATCCATAGAATGCTGAATTTAATGTCCTTATTACTGTAAAATGACTTGCCTCTCATTATATCATTTTGCAAAAATAGCCAGTTAGTGCCAGGTTAGAATTTAAATTAGTATAATTTTTCAAAAATGAAAATGAAATATGCTCAGAAATTCATTTCTGCAAGAACACTGCTGAAAACATGATTACTAGAAGAACACTAAGAGGAAAGGCATCTTTCCCAAGCAGCATCTTCCCATCACAATCCCATTTTCATTTAAAAGTTAAACTCTGTATAGGATTTAGTAACTTTCCCCCATTTTAGTTTCAATTCCTCTGTTACATAAGAGAAGGTAAGTGGAAGACAGTACTGACACAGTACAGACCTACTTCAACAGCTAATTATTCATTTCAGAGCACAAGTGCTCTGCTTCCAATAGATGGTAAAAGCCTGTGCTGAAAAAAAATTCACAGAAGAGAAAAATCAACACAATTGTTTGTACAAGCAACAATGCTGCTCTACTTACCTGACCTTGCAGCCAAGTTCCAAACTTACCCATATGTCCATTTTTAACTTCTGAAACTCCTTGGGGAAAAGGGATTTGCTTTGTGCTTATATCTGGTTGTATTTTGTCAATCACAAAGCATTTTATGGGAGAAACAAACACATTATCATTTCCACTTTAGTAAGATTGCAGAATCATAGAATGGTTTGGGTTCAAAGACCCTTTAAAGGCCATCTAGTCCAACCTCCCTACAAAAAAGCAGGGACACCTTCAACCAGGTCAGGTTGCTCACAGTCCCATCCAGCTTGAGCATATCTCCACAGATGGGAACTTCTACATTTTTTTACAAGGGCAGCCTTGAAACACTGCTGGGACATGGGAACCTGTGAGTTCAGCCACAAAAATCAGCCCCTTCCTGACTTTCGGTGAATAAATTTATTCCTATAATCAGGATTAAGTGAAGTGGTTCTCACATGCCAAGTCAAACACACCCAAATTCCTACACAGACCAACAAAATAATTTACTCCTTTCAAGTTCTATTACCAAAACATCCTTACTATAGGATCACATCTTCGATCTTCAGCTACTAGTGAAGAGAGATGCACTGCTTTATGAGGTAAAATAAGAATACACTCTCCCGAGAGATTCATTTAGAACTTTGACCTATCTTTTCTGTGACTCTCTCTGAACAAAAGACCTAAGAACACTTCTCCTCCGTAAGAAGTTCTATTTTAACAGAGTACAGCTTAGTTTGAGGGAGGCCAGCAATGGACTGCTCCCTGCTTTTCTCCCCTCACTGTGGGGTTCACATTGAGTTCAAGAACTTAAAAAAAACTTTTTTTTAAAATACCTACTTAAAAATACTATTTCTTGAATAAACCAAAGTTAGAAATCCCATAGGATTAACATTCTTTGGGTTTAACCTGGAACAGAATTGTTAACTACATGTTAATATATTTAAATAAAATAATTTACATTGCCCTGAATTAAATCCTAGAAATGTAAAGATACATCTTTTAATGGCCCTACAATCAAGTAAATTGAACACACTGCCCATTATTTTGGCTGGCTGCTAGTAACAGAGCATACACAGTGGCCCACCAGCTCTTCAAGGCAGCCCAGGACCTGCAAACTATTTTATTTTTTCAGGGATAAGGCAAAAGAGGAAAGCAGCAAGTGCACTCGATGAAATTATCAGACAGGAAAAAGTGTGGTAGGGCATAAATCCCTACGAGAGTTGCTGTTCTAACACACAAGAAATAACTTGCTATTTTCACAGTCACAGCTATAATTTTATTCATTGTACTTTACAGAATAATGCAATAAAAGTACCTTTAAAATAGATGCACTCCACAAGGAATTAAAGCATTTTCATGATTGGTAAGTTTGTTTTAAAGAAAAGTCTTTTACATTTATCTCTCTTTCCAGTAGTGTCAGCTTGCATTAGGATGAAATCAAAAATCCATCATGAAAATATACTTTGAAGAACTTGGTCATAATCTTCAAGCCTCAGGACTGGATTTTTTGTTTGTTTATTCACTCTCTAGGGAACAGACAAAGCAGAAGAAACTTCATGTTCTTCTAAGTATATGCTCTCTCTCACAGTATTAATTTTCACCACTTTAGTCTCAGCAGGTCACCACAACTCTGCAATGTCTGAGTTTACTGTACTAGACAAAATATATTTACATAGAGAATTCCCCATCATAAACAAATTAGCTGTAGAAGGGAGGGAAAACTGTCCTTTGAATTCCATCACTTAGAACTTCTGAAATACCCCACATCCAACCAATATGATTTGAGAACCTCAGCATCAGGTGTGGGACTCCAGCACCCCTTCCACTTTCAAGAGTAATAAATAGTATTTTATTATCTTTATTGTCAACTGTGTGTATATTCTAAATTTAGAACTGATCCAGCCAGATCATTGTGAGGCTACACTCAGAACTGGCCACATCTTCACATATACTATGAGTTTGAACTTATAGTCAGAATATCTTCTTTAAAATGTAAAAAACCCTACTGCCAACCCAGTCAAAAAATTCTCTGATTGAAGATGTTTTCAAGCCTACTGGCATGCCAATTTGAACCAATAACTTAAAAACTCCTTGTGCAGAACAGATTTGATTGGTATTTTACAGTAATGCCTTCTGTCAAGGAAGCATCCAATGGGAACAAGTTACTATATGAACTCTAATATAGTTTGCCACATTTTTACTCGTGTTTTCAATGTCCACACAAGAAATTGCCCATTAAATTTATAGACCAATTTTATGCTAATTATACTCATTACACTCTATGAGAAAACTAGGTAATTGGGTTGTTGTACTTCTATCTTTAGAAATAAATTAGAATTCCTGCTTAGTTAGAATCATTTAAAATGTCTGACTGTGCCTGTTCAAAGCATCCATTAACAAATGCTGGCTTCTACTCGACTTCCCACTGCATTAAACAGGCCATTTCTACACACAAGACAAAGCAGCTAATCAACTGGAAGTTGAAAATAAATATGCAGGGAGCAGGCATACAAACCGCAGTGTTAAAACGCATTTGCCTTATGCCAAGATACATTTGTAAACTCATCAAGTGTTATACTTACTAAGTCATGTTGATGTGTTTTCAAGATGGTTAACTGTTCAAAAACAAATAATATTTACAGTACAGTTTAATGGAGGTATTCAGCAATACTCAAAAGCAGAGGCTGAACGAGCAGGTGCACAGAAGCATTTGTATTGCTGCAGCACTCAGGGCAGTGCTCTGGTGAAAGGTGCCCCTGCCCATGGCAGGGGGGCTGGAACTTGATGAGCTTTAAGGCCCCTTCCAACCCAAGCCATCCTGTGATCTAACTCTCAGATCCTTTTTACAGCTAAGGGGCTCTGATTTCAATTCTCAAGACTTGTAAAATTATGCACAGTCTCTAGGTGACTATTCAGAGACCTAGGAGAGCCAGTATAACAAAGCCAAGCTGTCCAGCGGAAAATGCCAGAAAGGTGTGCAGGGACTGAGTAATGTTATATTTGTGAAGATTTACTGTCTGCAGGGAAACACTTCCCTGCACTTTGGAAGCCTTTGCACTCATAAACTTGAGTTCTTTCCCAAAGCAGAACAACTAGGTCTGCTCCAAACATAGGCTGATAAATAATCATATCTTAATTCCATATCTTTGGGATAGAATTTAATTTAAAATTCTGTGCTTAGCTATCTTCTAAGGGATAATAAACTTCTAGGTACAAAAAAATACCAGCCACCACACTGAAAAACATCCTGAAGAAAGAGACAATCACCTAATCCATTCGGTGCTCAAAGCTTCACTTTCCATACAATGACGATTCAGTGAGTCAGGAGGGAGAAAGAACACAAACAATAAAAATAAACAAAAGAAAATTGTACACATCTACTTGGAAAGCTCACATATAAATAAAAGAACAGATGTTTTCGTTTGTTTTGTGAAAGGTGGTAATCGAAGATCAGTCATCCATGCATCAAACAAGTGCTCTACATCTGTTGACTCAACAGTGCTGTCACAGCACCACAGCTCCTCCTGAGAATGCCTTCGAAGTTGAATCCTGGAGGCAAAATCATCTGAGAAATGCTTTGTTTGAGATGTGATTAACAAAACCTCTTGGCAGTACCTACAGCTCAGCTATTCTTTTAGAATTTCAGAAACAATTATAGGGGAAAAAAAATCATAGACAAAAAGGCTTGGACAAGAT